GGCAGAAAGTACAAAGAAGGGGAGAGCTGGCACCCATACCTGGAGCCCCAAGGGGTGATGTATTGCCTCCGATGCACCTGCTCCCAGGTATCTTGCAAAAGTTTATTTGGACTGTCTGGTGGGAACAATCCTCTTCTTCATTCTTGGATGAAAGTCTAATGTTGGGAGTGGATAACTTGGGGGCGGGAGGTTCATTGACCTACCAGGAGAATTTGGAAAGACACCTTCTTCAGATAATGAATTCTTCTTAATATTTCAACAGGAAACAAGTCTCTGATACTACAATTACATGTATGAAAAGAACAACAACATACATAAAATAGATACGCTATAGCACCCCTATTGCCATGTCAACATTAAATCAATACATAACTAATACAAGATAGTCAAAGTAATGTTCACATGACTTAATGAAATTAACAATAACATAATATTTTGTGTAACTATAAATCCTAGCAATTACAACTCCCTAATGACAAAATCAATCCCCCCCCCCCCCAATGCTACCAGTTTTATCTCTCTTCTTCTTAGGCGATCCCTCGTTGGACGAGTAGGATAGTCTTCCAGGATCAGTGTTCTGGTGGGTCCGTAGGTGACTGTGGAGCCCTATTCTTGATCTGCATCTTCTCCCGCAGTGAGGACATTGGTTTCCAGGTGGAAGGCGGTCTCGGTCGGGGTTGGCTTGACGCGCCTTCATCTTGGCACGTTTCTCTGTTTCACCCTCCATTCGTGCCTCTTCAAATTCTGTAGCACTGCTGGTCACAGCTGACCTCCAGCTGGAGCGCTCAAGGGCCAGGGCTTCCCAGTTCTCAGTGTCTATGCCAGAGTTTTTAAGGTTGGTTTTGAGCCCATCTTTAAATCTCTTTTCCTGTCCACCAACATTCTGTTTTCCGTTCTTGAGTTTGGAGTAGAGCAACTGCTTTGGGACACGGTGGTCGGGCATCCGGACAACGTGGCCGGTCCAGCAGAGTTGATGGCAGAAAACCATCGCTTCAATTCTGGTGGTCTTTGCTTCTTCCAGCACACTGACATTTGTCCGCCTGTCTTCCCAAGAGATTTGCAGGATTTTCCGGAGGCAGCGCTGATGGAATCGTTCCAGGAGTTGCGTGTGATGTCTGTAGACAGTCCACATCTTGCAGGCATATAGCAGCGTTGGGAGGACAATAGCTTTATAAACAAGTACCTTGGTATCCCTACGGATGTCCCGGTCCTCAAACACTCTCTGCTTCATTTGGAAAAATGCTGCACTCACAGAGCTCAGGCGGTGTTGTATTTCGGTGTCGATGTTGACTTTGGTGGAGAGGTGGCTGCCAAGGTAGCGGAAATGGTCAACATTTTCTAATGTTACACCATTAAGCTGTCTTTCTGGCATTGGAGGGGGATTGGCTGGTGACTGCTGGAATAGCACTTTGGTTTTCTCGATGTCACATTTGGGCATATTGAGTATTTGTGCCAAATGTGATCCAGTGAATGAAAATACATCCTGCATATCAGATATGTACATGATGATTCATAACAGTAGCAAAATTACAGTTACTTCCAACAGACCTCACTACCTCTGAGGATGCTTGCCATAGATGCAGGCGCAACGTCAGGAGAAAATGCCTCTAGAACATGGCCATTTAGCCCGGAAAAACCTACAACAACCCAACGAAAATAATGTTATGGTTGGGGGTCACCACAACATGAGGAACTGTATTAAGCGGCCACAGTATTAGGAAGGTTGAGAATCACTACTTTTTGAAACTACTTGAACTGGCATGGCTCAATGCTATGAAAACCTGGGATTTGTAGTTTGATGAGGCACAAGTACTCTTTGGCAGAGAAGTCTAAAAATATTGTTAAATTATTTCTCCCCAGATTCAATATCATTGAGCCGTGGTGGTTAAGGTGGTGTCAAATTGCATTAATTCTACATTGCGGTTCATAATTTTGGGTTTTGTGAAGTTGAGGGTATTTTAAGCCATGATGTTGTTTTCTCTCAAAAGCAGCCAGAAACTTTCTGTGCGTGTGTGTTTCAGTCTTGTCTTTGGGACTTTCATCTTCGCATGCCCACCTAATGCTCCTGCCACGCTGTTTCGACTCTTCGTCTTTGCGCCGATCCCTTGGAAGCGCATGTTATTTACCCATCATACAAATTATCACCCCAGTCACGCAGAGTCATGATTCATCTAAAATTGAAAGATCCCGGGGTCTGAGTCAGATGGTTATTCTTAGAGTTCTCTGGGCAAGGGTCCATTCGGAGCCAGAGAGAGAGCCAGAGCGGCCCCTGCTGGAAAAAGCGGGGCAATGACACGCGGTGGAAGGAAGCAATTAATGAGCGCGGATTAAGAGGGACAAATGAGGATTAGCCTCCCCAGGGAAACCATTCCAAATTTTCCCTGCATATCATGCCGCAATCAAAAGATTGGCTTTGCGGCTTTGATTTCCTATTTCTGAAGATAAGCTCTGGGAGGATAACACTATTTAAGCCAAGTTCTCTTAATTACTTTTGCAACAAGGACAGGAAAGTTTTGGCCTGTCTGCACGAGAATACCTCTCCAACACAATCAGGGAAATGTTGCATCCAAAGGGAGTAATGGGAACATATTATTTAAACAGATATCTTGTTTGTTTCCTCTCTGTTGTTGTGCTGTTGTAATTTTAGAGTTTTTTAATACTGGTGGCCAGATTTTGTTCATTTTCATGGTTTCCTCCTTTCTATTGAAATTGTCCACATGCTTGTGTATTTCAATGGCTTCTCTGTGTAGTCTGACATGGTGGTTGTGAGAGTAGTCCATCTAATCACCTCTCAACAAAAGTTTGCTCCAGGCACCGTCAGGCCATCAAATGCTAATCAAGGTGGTCAGTTGAAACATTCACACCTAGCTCCAGCAGACAAGAGTCCTTTGTCTCACCCTGGTCATTCCACAGATATATAAACCCTTTTTCCTAGTTCCAACAGACCTCACTACCTCTGAGGATGCTTACCATAGATGCAGGCGAAACGTCAGGAGAGAATGCCTCTAGACCATGGCCATATAGCCCGAAAAAACCTACAACAACCCAGTGATTCCAGCCATGAAAGCCTTCGACAATACAATAATAGTAATAGTAATAATAATAATAATAATAATAATAATAATAATAATAATAGGAAAAAGAAGGCTCTCCATGGACAATTCCTGGGAAAATTGAGAGCCAAATTGACAAAGAAAGAACATGGATGTGGCTCACAAATGGAACTTTGGAAAAGGAGACAAAGGAGGGCCAGAATCTGGCAGCCCAAGAACAAGATATTAGAACCAATACCATCCAAGCCAGAATTGAAAAGTCGACGACAGATCCCAAGTGTAGACTCTGCAAGGAAGCAGATGAAACAATAGATCACACCCTCAGCTGCTGCAAGAAGATCGCGGAGACAGACTACAAGCAGAAGCACAACACCATTGCTCAGGTGATTCATTGGAGCTTGTGCCATCTGTTTGTGACAAAGAACTGGTGGGATCACAAGCCGGAAAAAGTTACAGAGAATGAATACGTCAAGATACTCTGGGACTTCCAGATTCAGACAGATAGAGTGTTGGAGCACAATACTCCTGACCTCACGATCGTGTTAAAAAAACAAAGTATGGATTGTATTGTCGAAGGCTTTCATGGCTGGAATCACTGGGTTGTTGTAGGTTTTTCCGGGCTATATGGCCATGTTCTGGAGGCAATTTTTCTCCTGACGTTTCGCCTGCATCTATGGCAAGCATCCTCAGAGGTAGTGAGGTCTGTTGGAACTAGGAAAAGGAATTTATATATCTGTGGAATGACCAGGGTGAGACAAAGGACTCTTGTCTGCTGGAGCTAGGTGTGAATGTTTCAACTGACCACCCTGATTAGCATATAATGGCCTGACAGTGCCTGGAGCAAACTTTTGTTGAGAGGTGGTTCGCTGTCCCTGATTGTTTCCCCTCTGTTGTTGTGCTGTTCTAATTTTAGAGTTTTTTAATACTCAACTTGTTGTGTTTTTAATAATAATAATAATAATCTGTACATCTCAGTCAGCATTGAGTGACTATACCTAAAATCCCTAATTGGGAGTGGGGGGTTTACGAATAAGCTCCCTAATAAAGCTTTTGTGAATATTTCTGAACATTCCTTACCTTCCTAATCAGGCTTTTTGTGAATATCTATAATTGGTACTCACACTAACTAAAGGTATTAGTGACCATCATCTGACTCCATCATCTGCCGGTCCACTTCTGAGCACAATTCAAAGTGCTGGTCTTGGCTTATAAAGCCCTATACGGTTCCAGCCCAGCTTACCTGTCCAAACGTGTCTCTCTCTATGTCCTGCCTCAGAGTCTAAGCTTGTCAGGGGAACCCTGCTCTCAGTCCCACCTTCCTCACAAATGCGTTTGGCGGGGACGAGAGACAAGACCTCCTCAGTGGTGGCCCCCTGTCTGTGGAATACACTCCCCAGCCAAATTAAAAGGTAAAGGTAGTCCCCCTGACATTAAGTCCAGTCATGTCTGACTTTGGGGTGTGGTGCTCATCTCCATTTCTAAGCCGAAGAGCCAGCGTTGTCCGTAGACACCTCCAAGGTCATGTGGCCGGCATGACTGCATGGAGCGCCAGCTAAATTAGGTCAGCTTTATTCCTTCTCTACTTCAGGAAGAAGCTCAAAACATGGTTTGGGGACCAGGCATTTGGACAGCAGGTTTGACAATAATTACGATGTTTTTAGTTTGAACTATGGACAGGCTTTGGATTGGATCAGTGGTCGTTGAATCAAACTCGGATATGGCTTTATGGTTAATAATAATTTTTTAATGGATTTTAACTTAATGTTTTTATTTACTATGTAATGTTGTATTGTAATGTTTTGTATGTTGGCGGCATCGAATTGTTGCCGTTGTAAGCTGCCCTGATTCCCCCCTCGGGAGTTGAGAAGGATGGGGTATAAATGTTTGAAATAAATATATAAATAAATTCTTACATTATCATATCCTTTTGCTTTCTTCTCTCTTCAGGTTCCTATTTCCCTTCCATAAAGCCCGAAGGAATGTCTTTCAAGATCATCTTCTGGCTGGGATACTTCAACAGCTGCGTAAACCCTATCATCTACCCTTGTTCGAGCAAAGAGTTCAAAAGAGCCTTCATTCGCCTCCTGAAGTGTCAGTGTCGCCGGAGGAGAAGACCCATCTGGAGGGTCTACGACAACCATTGGCGAGGTGCCTCCGTCAATGGCTCCGGCCAAGATTCAGAGAGGGATTTGCAGTCGAGAGTTTCGACCATCAACGGGTCGTTCATATTGAACTCCAGCAGCTTGGAGAGCTCGAGCAAAAGGAGAACTCTGAACTTCAAGCGGTGGAGGATGTTCTCCCCTTTCCAAAAGCCGACAACGCAGCTGAAAGAAAAAATGAACAGCCTCTCAAACAAGATCCGGGGAGGGTCTGTCAAAGGCGGCGTGTCAGCCTCCTACAAGACCGAGGTGGAGTCAGTCTCCATAGGGATCCCAAACGAGTTCATGGAGTGCATTGACTATCAAGTCTATGACGACTTAACAGACTCTGAGTCCTCTGGGCTGAAAGAAACAGATATTTAACATTAGCAGGGATAAACTTTAGGACCCCCCCTTGGGGTTTCATTTTGTTGTGTCTGTGTCTTAACATGCGGGTCAGCTGTCAGAGGTGGATGGGGTCCATACCTGAGACAGGTAGGCTGGAGGAGCCCCAAAGCTCACTTGAGAGAGCTCAGGCTTGGCCTACAGAAGGTTGAAGGCCAACATCACCAACATCTCCAGTTTAACAAAGGGTCTTGGCCTAGTGATGCTGAGTAGAAAATCCCCTTTGCTAAGACCTCCAAAAACTACTTGATATCAATGTCAACCATACTGAGCTGGAAAGATCCATGGTCCAACTCAATATGGAGCATTGTCCTCTGAGCTTTGGGGAGCATGATATAGCACTTTGTATATGGCCAGGTACCTCATGGAGGACAAAGTGCTATTGGCCATGAAACAGGCAAGAATTCTATGAATTCTGGGGTTGGTCAATGTGTATGTCGAAGAGGTGGACCAATGTATACTACAAAGCAATGAGAAAGGTATCATTCCTTCGTGGTTTGGATAAGGGTGAAGTCTTGGTATCCAGGCAAAAGTTCCCATTTTTATTTTCAACAGGAACATCTGGTCCCTCAAAAAAATGGCAATGATGTGTTGAGATATCCATCAATAAATGATGCAAATTCATATGATGCAAATTCATAAATAAGATTTGCTTAAACTAACCCAACAACAATGCTTTATTGAGAATTAAGTTATCTACAGAAATCTGGATCTGAAGTCACGGGAGAGGAGAAAGCCAATGAGAGAACTTCAATAACTCAACACCAGATATTTGGTCCAACTGCTAGATTTCTGGGATAGTGGGTAATGAGTTTCTCAATTAGCACAACATGCCCCTGTTGGTTTTGCTGTTGTTTGTAAGGATCACTAGGAGAGGGAGGTATTTTCTGGAAGAAGAAGCAGAACTCCCAATGGTTTGAACATAACCATAACTCATATTTCAATCATTACTATTATATCAATGAGGGCTGGAACCCTGTTTTTGGAATAAGGGCTGGAAACATGTGTCAGTTTTTTTGATGATTCAAGGATTCAGGAATCCAAAGTTGATGATGACTAAAATTTGCTTTTTTCTTTAATACTGAAAAACAGTAGCTACCCCCACTTTCACGTGGGTTAGAGGTTCAGGACCCCAATGAAAATGGGGAAAGTATGGATTTGAAAACCGTGACTCGATTTACCAGAAAGAACACCAATCAAGGAATCCCTAGTTCCTCCAATGAGACTGGTTAACTTCTGGTAGGGTGGGGGACCTAGAGATACAAACCGAAAGAAAACATATTAATCAAATCTTAAAATAATCGAATCCCACCTACAAATGTAGATGACCAATTATCTAGGGCAGTGGTTCTCAGCCTTTGGGTCCCCTGATGTTTTGACCTTCACCTCCCAGAAATCCTAACACAGTGGTTCTCAACCTGTGGGTCCCTGGATGTTTTGGCCTTCAACTCCCAGAAATCCTAACAGCTGGTAAACTGGCTGGGATTTCTGGGAGTTGTAGGCCAAAACACCTGGGGACCCACAGGTTGAGAACCACTGTCCTAACAGCTGGTAAACTGACTGGGATTTCTGGGAGTTGTAGGCCAAAACAGATGGGGACCCACAGGTTGAGAACCGCTGTCCTAACAGCTGGTAAACTGACTGGGATTTCTGTGAATTGTCGCCCAAAACAGATGGGGACCCACAGGTTGAGAACCACTAATCTAGGGCAATCCCAGCAGAATGATCCCACAGTGGCCACTGGATTTAAAAGAAAAATATAAGGAGTGGGAATAATGCATTGAAAAGGACAGGAGCCAAAAACACTGGAGACTTCATAGAAGGGATTTACCCATGTCACCAAGATGCCATTCATTAATTATCCTTCCAGAACCTCCCAGCATTTACAACCGATTGCAGAAATGTGGAAGAATTCATTTCAGCACAGTGACTGAACACAACAAACCAACATCTCTCCATTGAGCTGTTTATAGTTCTGCCCCCTGTTTCCCAAAGATGTAGAAACTGACCATGTTTCCTTGGTGGAGAGGGGAGCACGCTCTACACATGTTGTTATATTTTTAAAGCACATATTCCAAGTATAAAACCTGAGCCTTTGAAACAATTTGCAGAATAGAACAAATCCAACCTTTTGACAAAGTAAAGTCAAATGCTGAGAGGAGGTGGTGAGGTGTTGGCATTGTCCTCTGCTACCAGTGCTAGCTTGATGCCTTCAGCTATGGTCCAGAATGTTCTCTCCTTACCGGTATTGCAGAAAACACTCTGCCTTTTTGTACAAGTAAAGAACCAAGAGTACTATTTTGTTCTTTGTCTCAGGCAGCAAAATGCCTTATGCTTTCCATGCTCTACAAAGAGCCCACAGCTGTCAGGTAAAAGATGAAGCAAGCCTGGTTTCTGCTGCTTCAGGCACTAAAACATGAACTAATGGACAAGAAAAGAAAAGGAATGCCACCTAAACATTAGGCAGAACTTTGTTTTTACTATAACCTGCCTTGGAGAGGTGGGGAAGTGGGTCTTCCTTCTCTGGAGGCCTTGAAACAAAGTTTTCATGGGCATCTTTCTTTTAACTGCCATGACTCCATGTTATAGAATTGTGGGAGTTGTTGTTTGGTGAGGCGCCAACATGCTTTGCAAAAATGCCAAAGGTCTTGTGAAACTGCAACTCTTACGACACCATGGCATTTAGTTTTTTGAAACACACTAGAGAAAACATCCACTGAAAATACGGTTTCTGCCTCCTGCAGAATTTTGGGTTTTGTAGTTTAGTGAGATTTTTAAAGGCTCCTCCCTAAATGACAAACTCTAGAATTCTGCAGAAGGCAGAAAACAGATTTCCAGTGGATTTATTTTTTTTTTTTTGCTAGTGTGATGAAGTGGATAGAATCATAGAGTTGGAATCAAACTTACTCTTTGCATAAATTTGAGGAAATAAATCTTTTGATTCACCAAACATGGCCATTAAAGAAATCCTGAAAATTATTGAATATCCATTGCAATCAAATCCTATAGCATTATATCAGTGTACCACCACGGCATTGCCACTGCATGCCATAGACGTTGCACATTTTGAACCCTCTTCAACAAAAAGCCTGTGTTTTTCGTAGTCATTCAAATGAACCTTTTCAAGGAAATGCTCTCCTTGGGTTGTTGTAGGTTTTTCCGGGTTATATGGCCATTTTCTAGAGGCATTTTCTCCTGACGTTTCGCCTGCATCTATGGCAAGCAACCTCTGAGAATGCTTGCCATAGATGCAGGTGAAACATCAGGAAAAAATGCCTCTGGAACATGGCCATAAAACCCGGAAAAACCTACAACAACCCAGTGATTCCAGCCATGAAAGCCTTTGACAATACAATGCTCTCCTTGCTCAGGACTTCCCAGTGGTTTCATGCAAAATTTTGGCCAAAGGCCAGTGCAATTTCAATAGCCCATCGAAAACTTTGCCCAGGAAAACATCTACAGGCGATGTTCAATGACCCTGGTGCTATTTCCAGCTCTCGGGTTTGATGCACAGTTTCCATACGACTTAATTTGCTGGCTCCCGCCCAAGTTCAGATACATAACAGAGGTGGGGCTGGAAGGAGAGTTCCCATCAAGAGGAAATGTGGCCATTGGCTTAAGCAACATGAGGTTCTCAGGGTTTACTTATCCTCTGGTTGTTGCCTTTGAATATTACTTGATAAAGCTGCCCATTTTCTCTAAAACACACACAGAGGAATGGTGGACCAGAGTCGGTTGTGCCAGGCCAATGTTGCCAGATCTATTGGGAAAATATTTTGACAAACAACAGAATAGCTGCCTGTAATTCATCCAGTTGGCTCTGGCTTTGGCTGAGAAGGAAACAAAACATATAGGGATAGACTTCTCTCTGTGTCCCATGTTTTGTTTTCTTCCAAAAGATATCAGGAGTTTTGCACAAAACATCTTTTTTTGCCGAAAAGGCCCCAAAGCACTAAATCTCATTAAAAAGGGAGCAAAAGCCTCTTATGAATCCACCCAGCGTGTAGGTGATTCTGGAAATCGTTTATTCTTGCATGCAAGAATGAAATGTGAGTAAAGATTTACTACATTATCTGGAATTGTCCAGGCAGCAGCCTTCGGTATAAAGCAAACTCAGGAAGTGAGAAACGTGTCTTTTTGGGCACTGGACCTGCAAAGGATAGATAAATCAGTAGCTAACTCCTGAAAGCAACAGAAACAAAACCCACCTCCAGTCCTTAACCACTAAGTGCATTGTGATTCTAAAATATACAAAGCTTGGATCATAACAACAAAGAAATATGTTTAAACTCATGAATGAAATTCGTTTTTGCCATCCCCTAATGCAATTGGCCCTTGGTTAGGGTTAGGGTAAGAACAGTCAGTTCAGGAACATATTATCCCCTGCTGTTATGGGGGTTTGTTCTACATGGAGGACCTGAAGGTGTACAGAAATTATCCAGAGACAAATACAAATGCTATATATTTTTTTTGTTTCCCTGCCCTACTAGAAGGGTTATTATCCTTTTATGGTGATGGTGTTGCTTCCCATCAGGTCAACTTCAACTTATGATGAGCCTAAGAATGAGAGACCTCCTAGCTAGAGCCTCTGACATCAATTGCCTGCTCAGGTTTTGCAAACTCAGGCTTCCCTGATAGAGTCTGTCCACCTCCAACGCAGTCTCCCTCTTTTCCTACTGCCTTCCACTCTATTGAGCGAGCATTATCATCTTTTCCAGTGAGCCACACCATCTCATGATATCTCCAAAGTTTAATAACCGCCATTTAATTCCAAATGGCCATGACCTCTCCATGTCTGGTATCCAATGGGCAGTTGAGATGCCAACTCACACTTCCTTGGAAAATAAGAGCCAATTGCTTATATGCAGACAGATGTAGGTTTTCTTAAGGACCCCTTTCACATAGCCACCCAATCCTTTGGGTCAACAAGGTTGGGCAATCCCCACCTTGTCATGGGTGGCCAAATTCATGAGACGTTCATGCACGATTTACCAGGAGATCATAAGGTTGCAACTCGTTCCAATACATCCAGCTATGGCTTGTTTGCGTGTGTTTGTGCGTGCACCAAAAGTGGCAGGGCTCCCAGCTTCTCGTGAGATGGTCGTGTTAAGCCTGTCTTGTGAACGCTCCCGGATCATAAGAGACCAATGTACAAAAACTACTCACTGCAGAATAGGTTGGTGGAACCGGTCTCCATCAAAGCAGGAGGTAAAAGGGATCGTATAACAATCCAACCAAAATCAACAGAGGAAACAGCACTTATTCTTACCTTTAGCAACAGGTTGTCAATAAACACTTGGCACGATTGTGCACTAAATCTAAGGCTCGCTCTGTATGGATAGTGTACTCAAGGATTCGTGGCCCTTTGTTCAGGCCCCGATCCAAAAGAAGAGTCACTCACAAAGTAGGAAAGAACCACCCGCTAAGCAAGACCTTCTCTTGGTCCTTCTTTGATAAAGAGACAAGCCATTCTCCGTTCTTCAAAAGGTTTGCCTCTTTGACAATAGGACCAAAAGAAAAGACCAACTGAAGATCCTGCTTTTCATCATGGAAATAACAGTTTGGAATAGTCAATGTTTCCCTTTCTGTTATATAAGACTTGGATCGGTACAGTTGGCTG